CTTTGTAAGTCAAGCTTCTTTCAACTCCTAACCCCTGGCACCACTCATCTGTTCTTTATCCCTATACTTTTGCCTTTTTAAATTTAAACTTTAATTAATTTAAATTAAGTGAAAGTAAAAATTCAGTCCATCAGTTGCACCAGCCACATTGCGGGCATTCAGTAACCACCTGAGCCTCGTGGCTACTGACCGTATTGGACAGTGTGGCTATAGACCATGTCCACCATCAGGGAAAGTTCCACCAGACAGTGTTCCTCTACGTAAACAATCAAATAGTTAATACTTATCCAGCAAGATAATGAAGTCTGGGCAAAGAGTAGTGAAGGAAAGAAATAGAATTCCGTGAAAGAGAGACGCCCAGGGGCAGAGGGCAGCTCAGGAGAGGTCTCTCTCTGCAAGGAGGCAACATTTTTGCCAAGACTGTCAGGATGGCCTGAGTGAGAGTGTGCCGGGGGAGGAGACAGCACATGCAAAGGCCCTGAGGCTGGAGGGATGGCTGACATGGTGTGAATAAAATGAACATAGAAAGGATCAGAACAGTATAAGATGTAGGTTAACGAGAGAGGCGGGACCCAGATCCGGAAGGGCCTTGCACATCATAATAAGTCATCTTGACAGCATCTTACATTAGCAATAGGAAGCAGGAAGTGACGCGGGGGCAGTGGGCTATCAGCGTCAAGGTGAGAGGAGGGTTCTACAGGTGGGAGAAGGGGGTGAGCCTTGGGGAGGAGTAGACAGATCGCAGAGAGATGTGGAGGGAGAATGGGCACCTTGGGCTGCGAGAAAAGGGGGGTGGTCCAAGGGGCGCCGGACTTTGGGTTTCTGGTGGGGCAGCTTTGTGGGTTGGGGGCCATACCTGGTGGGTAACAGCAGGCTGGCTGGAGAAAGGCAAAAGTTCAGTCTGGGATGCCTGTGAGGGTACAGGTGGGAAGGAAGCACTGTTGAGACCAGGATTGCCAAGCTGTGGGCCAGAATGCCCCTTCAGTGTCACTCGGTGCCTCTTACCCCTTCCTTTAAACTGTGGCCCATCCTCTCCCTTTACCTCCCCGTGAATACCCTCAGAATCCATCTTACAGGGTTCAGCCACCACCCAGGTGAGCACACACCTGGGGCAGGAGAGCACATACATACACATGGGGCAGGTGAGCACATACACACACGTGGGGCAGGTGAGCACACACACATACCTGGGGCAGGTGAGAACACACCTGGGGTTGGTGAGCATACACCTGGAACAGGTGAACACACACACACACACACACACACACACACCTGGAGCCAGTGAGAACATACCTGGGGCAGGTGAGCACACACTTGGAGCAGGTGAACACACACACGCACCTGGGGCAGGTGAGAACATACCCAGGGCAGGTGAGCACATACACACACCTGGGCCAGGTAAGCATACACAGCTAGGCCAGGTGAGAACATACCTGGAGCAGGTGAGCACACACATGGGGCAGGTGAGCACCTCTAAGGGCTCTGCGAGGGGCAGGGTGGTCAAGATGGCAGACAGTAGGACCACAGGCTGAAGGTTAAATGCATGTGAACTGTTTGTTGTCAGACTTTGGAATGACCAGAGACATCTACGAAACGGATTACTACCGGAAAGGGGGCAAGGGCCTGCTCCCCGTACGGTGGATGGCACCGGAGTCCCTGAAGGACGGGGTCTTTACCGCTTCTTCCGACATGTGGTAAGTTAGTTGTGCGTGGATCGGTGGACAGATAGATGCTGGGCTCGAATTCCAGGTGATCCCGCTAGTGTGACTGGCAAGAAGGAGCAAAAAAAGCCCGCCTTCCTCCTGGGATCTTTAACAAGGAAATGAAGATGCTGTCCTGCCTCAGGACCCTTGCACGGCTACCCTTACATTTCGGTGGAGACCAATCTTAGAGGCATTTATGAATTGCAGTGTGAATTGTTTTATTAAGTGAAAAGCCAGGTTCTAGCAAAGCAAGAAGGGGTGTGTGTGTGTATGTGTGTCTGTGTGTTCATGGCTTCTTTGTTACTACTTACAATTGTCATTGGCAGGTCCTTTGGCGTGGTCCTTTGGGAAATCACCAGCTTGGCGGAGCAGCCTTACCAAGGCCTGTCTAACGAACAGGTGTTAAAATTCGTCATGGATGGGGGATATCTGGATCAACCTGAAAACTGCCCAGAGAGAGTGTAAGTCTAGAAAGGGTGTGCAGTGTGTGAGGTGTTCGTTCAAAAGGCATTGCCCCTTGCTCACATGATAGGGTTTGCCTTTCCTTTGTCTACGTGCACACTTGCGTTTGCATGCCACATGCCTACATGTGTGTTTGTGTGTGCATAACATATCTTTACATACATGCATGCTTGCATTTGCATATTGCATAGTTGCACGCACAGTCCTGTTTGCATATATGTCTACATGTGTGCTTGCGTTTGCATATCATGTCTACATGCCTGTGTGTTTGCATATCATGCTACTGCATACACACTTGTGTTTACATATGTTTTTGCATGAACTTGTATTTGCACATCATGCTTCTTAAATGCCTGCTTGTGTTTGCAAATCATATCTTTACATGTGTGCTTGTATTGCATATCATGTCTTTGGAAGGTTGTACAAGAAACCTGGGAGAAGGGAACTGGGGACTTGGGGTAGGAGAGAGACCTATGTTTAACTGTTTATTCTTTCAACACTTAAAATTTTGTCGGGTGCATGTATTACATGTCTCCTACCCCCAGAATATTTTTGTTTTAAATTTGTATTATAGAATCAAATGAACAACACATACACACTGCCATTAAACATTTGGAAAATTGTTTAGCCTCACTAATGATCCAATACATAATAAATGTAGGGTAATAAAGGAGAGTCTTATCTTCCTAAATTAGCAAAAAAAAGAAAGAAAGAAAGAAAAGAACAGAAAAAATAAAGACAGTTTTAATAAGTAGTGCGAGCAGTGGAATAGCAAGATAAACATTCAGATCATTCTTACCACCTTGCTGTGTCTGCTACTCAGAGCAATGTTATTTAAAGTTGCAAAAAAAAAAAAAAACCCAATTGAAATGATCTAAATATCCAACATATGAGAATTGCCAAGTAAATTGATAAATGAATATGATGTAGCAATTGATGTTTCAAATGGTGCTTATGAAACTGTTTTATAACTTGGCGGATAACCTTATATTAAAATATTCAGTGGGAAAAGTGTATATTTATTACATTTCCAAATGTGTCCAGAAAGAAAACACCAGAAGTTATAGCTGAAGAACAGTTGTATGTGAGGTGTATTTTCTCTATATGTTGGGGTGTTTTCTAACTTTCTACGGGAGCATTTATCATATATAAAGTCCTTTTTCAGTGTTTATTAAGAAAAATTTTTGCTGTCCTGAAAATTCACAGAGGGAGGACATTTTAATGTTTTATCTCCCAAAGAATAAGACATCAATTTAGAAAACCTAGTACAAAGAAATCTTTTATGAGCAGAAAGTATGAAGCAGAGTTATTTGGAAACTCTGAGCAAAATATTTCTAACCATTGCCTCCTGAAGCTCCTTTCCTAGCCACGTCAGTTATCAGCTGCCTTTAGTTCCAGGACCAGGGAGATTAAGTAGGTGCTAGGGCATGAGATCAAAACCTTTTTCTGTAAAGAGAATATTTACCGTAAAAATATTGTAAATAATTTCAGCTTTATGGGCCATGTGGCTTTCCGTCCAAGCTATCAACTCAAAGGCAACCACATACATTACATAAATGAATGGGTGTGGCCGTGTGCCGATAAAACTTTATTTATAAAGACGCTCGGGGGGCCGGATTTGGTCTGAGGGCTGGAGTTTGCCAACTCCTGCCCTAGAAAATGTTACAGCGGAGAAATAAAGAGGTACAATTGAAAACACAAGCCCTCAGCTTCTGTTCTGAATGTTTTTGGCTGAGTAAGGTGGTAGCCTGGAGGTTCCGGGACAGCCTCGGGGGATGGATGCCGGGCTGGGGTCCTGTGTGTTGCTGGACACCAGCGCGTCTCCTTCAGGCAGATACCATGTGGCCCACCAGGCAGGGACTCGTCCCATGACTAAGGCCCCTTCCACCATCGTCCAGAAAGTGCGGGCTGTACCTGCATATGGGATGGCCACTCAGAGCTGGCTCCCAAAATTCAATCCACACCACTGCACCCACCAGATCCCCCGAATCTCAACCCTGAAGGGTCTTTAGATCTAGAAAAATTGCTGGGGGGGGAGGGGGTGGGATAGGGAAGCCTATGCAAACAACCCCAGGGTGGGAATGAAACTTTACAAAATACACCACATCGCGGGGGAGATCAGAGGTGTCTACAGTGACAAAGCACGTCCAGCGCTGTGCAGAAGGAGCCCTTCTTGACTTAGATTTGGGAAGAGACAGCCCTTTCCAAAACCAGCTTCCGGCACCCCTAGAATCGCTCTTTCTGCCTTGACCGTTGCCCACACACGTGAGCACCTGTCTTCTGGGGCTGTGGGGAGGAGCCGGGGGGGCTGCTTGGCTGGGTGCGCAGACTCATCACCGACATGTCCCTCTGTCCCCCAGCACCGACCTGATGCGCATGTGCTGGCAGTTCAACCCCAAGATGCGGCCGACCTTCCTGGAGATCGTCAACCTGCTCAAGGACGACCTGCACCCCAGCTTTCCAGAAGTTTCCTTCTTTCACAGCGAGGAGAACAAGGCTCCCGAGAGCGAGGAACTGGAGATGGAGTTTGAGGACATGGAGAGCGTACCGCTGGACCGGTCCTCACACTGTCAGAGGGAGGAGGCGGGAGGCCGGGAGGGAGGGTCCTCACTCGGCCTCAAACGGAACTATGAGGAGCACATCCCCTACACCCACATGAACGGGGGCAAGAAGAACGGGCGGATTCTGACCCTGCCTCGGTCCAGTCCCTCCTAACAGTGCCTCCCGGGGAGGGGAAGGGGTTCTCAGCATCACTTTCCTCTGGTTTGAACGCCTCCGGAAAACTCAGGTTTCTCACGACTCTCCCACGAAGTCAAACGGAGCTCAGAGATGATTCCTACACACTTCTGTTCCTCTTGGGACTCCAGGACACCCTCGTCCGGTAGCCAGTTTGACTAATGAGAGGATTTAACTGTGAACCAGAGGGGGCAGGGTTTCCACGGCTGCTGCCTTTTGGGCAACGACAGTTTCAAACCAGGATGTCTTCTGTCTCTTTTTTCTTTCCTTTTTCTAGTAGATCTAGAGATCTACTAGAGATTTTTACAGAGATTTTTACAGAGATTTTTTTTTTTTTTTTTGCTGGTGTCTGAGCTACAGTATAAAAGATAAAACTTCTTGTTTGTGGAACAAAGGTTTGAAAGGAAAAAACAAAAACAGAAACAAAAACAACACAACCCTGGTTCCAGGAAAAATTCCAAGCTTTACAGGGTGGGCTTCAAGAAGGTTTTTTTTTTGGTCCTCATCCAGGCTGAAGGATTTTTTTTTTTTTCTTCTTCTTTACAAAGTCAGTTCCTCAGATTGACCAATAGCTGCTGCTTTCATACTTTGGTTAAAGGGCCTGCAGTCTCGGCATGTGCTCATGTGTGTAACACGCGTGTGAGTGTGTGTCCAGGTGAGACACGGCTGGGGTGTGTGCGTGTGCACATTATTCGTGCTGGGCTGACGCATTGGCAACTGGATCGTGAAGGTTCTGTGCGCACAAACTCAGGTCCCTTTCTCTCCTTCCTTCTTGTCTGCTGGGAGACTGTGCCCTCAACAGGCTCTTCTCGCATCAGAAGTCTACCCTCAGGTGTGTCCCCTCCCTTCGTGTTGGTGAAAAAAGAAAAAAAAAAAATGTTTTCTGGGAGCCAAGGGAGGAGCATTTAGTTTGGAGTGATTGCGGATCTTTTCAAGACCAAACAAAGCCAGGACATTTTTTAAAAAATGGCAAAAAGAAAAAGGAAAAAAAATGAGTTTTTGAGAATATATTTGTAACATATTTAATTAAAAAAAAAATCTCTGGCATTAGCTTCATAAGTTATTGACTCTATTCCCCGCCAGGGAGAGAGGAGTGGTCGTGAGCTGGTCCACCTGTGTCGGGGGAGGGCAGGATCAAGGCGCCAGTTGGCCTCTTTGTTTGGTCTTAAAGGCATCCATTTTCTGGGAATTAAGCCACATTAGCTGCTAACCCTTTTGGACGTTGCGCGGCCGCGTTGAGCACGTGAGAGACTGGGTTTTACGGATGTTCTGGTTCGGATACCAAGGTCCACTGTTCAGATAAGCTGGTAGCTACCTAGAGCTGAGCCCGCCTTCAAGAACACCTGTGTTCATCCTCTGGTTTTGTGTGTGTACCTCGTGTGGCATTTCTCCTCCCAGGTGTGCATGTCCTACAGTTACCGTGCAAACACAACGAAATCAGATCCCAAAGAGCGACAGCACGGATGGACTTTGAGAACGCTGAAGCAATATAAAAGGGAGCGGTGCTGAGAATACCTCCTGGTCTCCTCCGCCCTCGGGGCCTCCGACTGTCTTCAGTACTGAACTCCCAGAAGCTGCTCTGGGCCCGGCGACCCCAGCTGGGCCAGGTGTGGTGCCTGAGCGCAACTCTCAGGTGATGACCATGTTGCAACCCGTAAGAGAGTAGAGTCCAGAGGAGAAACCAATAAAGACCTTCACACTACCGAGAACTTCCGAATGGGCATGAACCCAAGATTTCTTCTCTTTGGCCGAAAAAAACAACCACAGCTGCTCAAATAAAGAACACGGTGAACTCATCACTTTGGTTCAATCAAAACCATCACCCATGGGTTATTATTCCTGAATGCATTTTGTCACGAGTTTTTGATTGCTTCCTTCTTAAGAGTTGTGGACTTAAGAACGGGATAGAGACATAACAGCCACCTCCGAGTCCTCTCAATTCTTGATTAAGAGCACAGGTAGACACAAATCCCAATTGACTATTGCTATCTTATTTATATGATTTGAGAAATTACCTATCACCTATTGCTGGGGAGCCTCCACGATTGGGTACAAGGAGCAAGAGTACAGAAAGTATTTTTTGCCAAATTTATTTTGTAAATAGGAAGGTCTGTATGTCGATTTAAAAAAAACAAAAACGACAACAAAACACGTAGCTCTAGGTATTTTTTGTTCTTTTCCTAGTAAATTTGTAGTGGTTGTAGACTACACTAGCAGCGATTTTCACATTTTTCTAATTCAGAAAGGTTTTCTTATTATTAGGGGGAAAAGTATTTATTTTAATATATAAAAATCACTCAAAATCACTCTCGTAAAAAATGGAGCGCATGTACATTTTTATCAAAGAAAAATAAACAGGTGAATGTTGGGTAATATTTTTTTTTTTTCAGCACAGTCTACCTCAGTGTATTGTTAGGATATGGTTCAATAATAGACATCTTCGAGACTTCGGAATTCTACCTGGATCTGGTCCGAATCAGGGAAAATGTGTATCAGCTGATTCCGAATGCCCGTGACCAGGAAGAATTTTGAGGGAGGGAGTCAGGATGGAGAAGGTGTGGCCTTC